CTTCCCATTAGCTCTTAATGCCATAAATCTAAAATCCTTGATACTACTGTTAGAGGAATGCTTCCACTCAAATCTTAAAGAAGCTTTAGACAAGATAGTAAGTCTCAACAGACACATACAAGACACTTACTTCTGCATAGGACAGGCTTGCAAATGCATGTGGGTCAGAGGTCCTGCCCCTGTGCATCACTATTTCACTTACAATGGAATAATTTTAAATTACATTAAGAACTATAATCATATTCTGCTATCATTTACTTTTTCATATCCTCTGCCACTAGAAATAAGCTTGAAGACATCCATCCAGCCCCAAGTGCACTATTCTGGGAAAGTTTCTATTTAGATGAGAACATTTATGCTCATAACTACATGATTTTTTTTTAAAGCTTAATTCAATATGAATAAATGGTTCAACTTAGAGTCTGCTCATTAGTGAGCAGTTGGAAGGAACTGGTTAATCATTGTTTGCCATCTGCTTTGGAGAATCGACACTGTACAGAACCTTTTCTGCAGCCAACAAACCCACAATGCACAAAGAGCACTAAAGGAAAACCCTGTTTCCAGCTATGGGGTTCTTTTCCGTGGACACTGAAAAGATAAATACTTTGTGGTTGACCCCCTTCTCTCTCCCTGACAGACTGTGCTCTGGGCAGAGGTCTCTGTGGGACTCCCCACGCCACTGAGCTGCCCCTGCCCAGGTGCAGCAGTGGTGCTGGGCAGGAGCGTCAGTGGGCTGCTCAATAGCCAGGGAGAGTAAGGCTGTCACACCACCAGGCCACCTGGCAGCAGGAGGTCAGGAGGCTGCAGGACATATACAAGATGCCACCTGTGGACTTGACTGTAATTTACACAGTTAGAATACAAACCTAGAGAAATATTAGCAACATTATCCCTTTCAGCTTCCACATCCCCCTCATCTTTCTTCACGTACAATCAGTACACCTGAGCACTCCCCATTGGATTTCCAAAAATGAAGGCAGCTCCTTACAGGTATCTGCTGTTTGCTCAGAAAGCCCCTGAATTCTCTTGTCTCCAGGCTGTTTTATTAAAACTAACTCTAAGTTCTTCTAAAGAGACAAGCCAGGACTTAAAGGGCTATATTGACTCAAAAAAGCATTTGCCTCCTCACAGAAAAAAATCAAAATGAAAGAATAAAATTGGTTCATTATCTATACTACTTTCTTGGCTCATCTTCCCCATGTGGTGGGACTGACAAATGCTGTGTCATAATTGGAGACGGAAGGAAGTTTCCATTTTGAGATTAGTTTTGGAATCCAGAGTCTTCCTCAAAAAATTCATTTTCTTCAAAATGAGGACAAAAATACATGACTGATGTAAAAATGTTCCACTTAAACACAGAAAAATTGCTAGGAAAAGGCAGTTCATGAACTGAGGTTTTGTTAAAATACACATTGCTAAAAAGTGTCAAAGAATACCAGAAGAAATGCTGAGCGTGAGACAATCAATACTGCTAGGCTCACTCTCCTTTCAAAGATCTATGGGGACCATAATTCAGGTTATTAAAACCCTTTTTCAAGATTGATTAAAGTTCATTTTAGTAACATCAGGAGGGAACCCAGGCTCCAATGATCTCAATACTGAGAGTGCTAAAGGCTGCAGTCTTCCAGAAGAAAATCAAAGTGTGCTCCCCTAGGCCTTCTTGCAAATAAGAGCTCTCAGTGTATTCAATCATAACAAAAGTCTGTCAATGAAAAATATTTTGCCTTCAAAATTTCAGGCAAATACTTGGGTCAAGTTTTCAGAAAAATAACTTCAGTTCTCCTAAGTTCTTTAGATGCTAAAATAACTCATCAGACTTTTCAAAGGCAAACTGCAACTAAGCTGTTGGTCTCCCTGAAAATGTTGAGTTGACCCACACTAAATGCTGTTAAAGATCCACCCTCATCTGTTGAGGCTGCATATCTTAAAGCATTCACATCTGTGCTTCACTTCCACACCTGTAAAATATTATGTTCCTGCCTCCATGAGCTGAGGAGAACAAATTATCATGTCCATGAACCAGCTTTGAGAATCTTCAGTGCTAAGATCATTTAAGGGGCATCTGACATAGGGCATCTGTTTCATGGGGGCCATCTCCTACTTCTGGCTTTGACAAGAAGGGAATTGGGATTCCACAAACCCCAGACTCTTGATCATGATGCCACAGATGCCAAGGTCGGTTGCTCTAAACTCTGCAGGGAGTCTGGCATTCCCTTATGTCAATGAGGAGGGCACTCTTCACTCCTCCTTTTAACTGAGAAAAGTGCCCCTTCTGACATGTGTCTGTGTGGAGTTAACTGTTGTTTGCTGTGAAGGTTATTAGACAGTATCTCATAAAAAAGCAGAGATATTTTAGATCAAGATCTGCCTTCCTTTTCTAGACTCAACAATGTTCTCTGGCAGCCACGGGATACTTAACCAAACAATTCAGATCCTGGTTTTGGGAGATTAAAACTATGTCCATACGGACACCTTCAGACTCCTAAATGTGTCTGAAAATACCCTGCATTTACCATAAATGTCTCTAGCTTGCTTAAATTTTAAAGAAACCATTGGACTTGGACGCAATAGGATTAACGGATTCACTAAAGACCTAAGTCCTGGCATTCCAGATCACCCTTGTAGCATTCCCTCAGAAGGAACACAAGTGTTTCTTGAACTTATTTTTCCAGAACAATTTAGTTCTTATGAGGGTGAGATGAGCACAGGTGAAAAGCTGAAATACCTGCAAGAGTATTTCATCACTCAGCTGGATCCAGCAGAAGCCAAAAGTCAAAGGTTGTGCCAGAAGGAATTTCACACCAACTAATTCCACATTCTGCACCATTTCTTCTAAGAAACAACCATTAGGAATACATATTAATAGTTTTCTGCAGGCATGTAAGAGCAAGGGGAAAGCAGAATATTAATGTTTGAGTATCACCCTTAAGCTGGGCAGGAATTAGGCACAATAAAACATCTGGTGTGAGCAAGTACTTTCAGCCCATATCTATGCCAAGACACAGCTATATGGGGCTGCTGTCTTGTAGACATAAGCCAAGACAGACATAAGAAGTCTATACTCCGATTTTTTCCAATAGATATATCCACATGAACGTCTTGGGTTGAGAATCATGTATTTTTATACATATTTTCCATAAAAATCAACAGCCTTTCTCTAGTATTCAACTCATTATTGACACCCCCCACATTGCTACATCAACATTTTATTTGAAGTATCAGTCATAGCATCCCATCAAAATTTAACAGCCACTTTCTTTAACTGAAGCATATTAACTCTTGGTTTCACCTATGCTAAGGTTTATCCCTCTCCTTCTTTTAAAATTCTAGTGATATTAAAAATAAAATACCTTTCTACAGCATGACTTAAAGATGCGTAATATTCCTTTCTTCCGCTCATGGTAAAGAGATAGAAGTGAAGGCAAAAGAATTCTCTATCCTAGTCTAAAGCTTCATACTGAATCCTGAGTGTCAAACCAACAGGGCTTTCAAGAAAACTGTCAACAACTGTAACAGTTACATAAGATAGTTAAAAAAATATTTTGCAAGGAAAAATGACAGTTTCTGTCACTTGAGATGATTTATACTTCAGTTTTAGAATGCAGGCAGTCAACATGTGACCTGACTTTTACTAAAGGAAATCAGAGACATTTAGCAGGATTACAAAAGGGAAAACACTGATGGCCCTATACCAGCAGTTCCTCTCAGTACTACAGGAAGATTTGCACAGTTTTCCTCTCAGCGTTACACAAATAAACAGAAAGGGTGGTCACATCAGCAGCTCTCCCTGTGGTCACTTTGTGCTGACTTGCTGCAGTTCTGAAGGCTGTCTGGTGCTGTCTGTGCTGGCCTGTTTGTGTTGTGTCTTAAGTTCTTTGAGAACGAGAATGAGTCACAGGTCACAGTAGCTGGGTTTGAAGTTACTTTGCAAGACAATGTGAAGGTTCAAAATGTGCACAAAGAATGTATGGCTGTTGATAACAGAACCCCTCGAAAAGGATACCAAGTGCAGAGGTGGCCATATAGGCAGGATGGCAGGTCGGGTGAGCTGGGCTGCATTGCTGGCTCTGTCATGCACTTCCTGCAGCACTTGCAGTGGTTACACAAGCCCTTTGGGGCTCCATTTTACTGCCTGTTAAACTGAAATCACAATTCCCTATATGACAGTGATACTGTAAACCTCATTCATTAATGACTTCGAGTCAATACTGGGGAGATGGTCAATACAGATTTTATGCATCACCAAAGTAACATGTAACCTCAGAACTTACATGGTATATAGCCTTGTCTGGTCTCTTAGCAGTCACGGCTAAATATTATACATTCACTTTACTGAAAATATTTTAGAGGAAGGAGTTGTTAGTAGTGTTGATTTTGCATCCCTCAAGTTACAAATCCACAAAATGACAAATGAGAAAGGACACACTCTTTAAATGCAGTGCAAAACAGGTACTAAGCAAACCCTGTAATGGTGATAAATGATGAAGAGAAAATGGTACAACTGCTGCACTGAGCAGACAGTGATTTAAATGAGCCCATGAAACAAGTATTTTAAAGTCTCAAGAATGACCATTGATAGTATCTCGAGGGGTTTCACTTTAGAGCTGGGAGAAGGGTTGTTTTTACTTATCTCTGCAAAAAAACCAATTCATGAATGCAATTGCCATTTACCTGTAGAAACACAGCTACAATTCAGCATAGTAATGAATTTAAAGGTGTATCTCAAAGATATTTATAAAGATATAAATACTTTGCTTACTCTGGCAATCACACAGAAGAAAAAGTTCTCTTCAAAACATCTTTTCCAAGGTTTCTGAGGACTCCTTTTAAACTTCATTGCCAGAAGTAATCTGCCATGAAGACCTAAGCATCAGCAAAAAATTAATCTCCAGTGTGATTGCTATATATACCTTGTCATTTCCTCTGCAGAGATGACCAATCGTCACTTCTTACATTTTATAACTTGGCTCCCCTGTAAGTCGTTCTTTCTGTTTCCCAAGAGAAAGAAGAAAAGTAATATTTTTATATGTTATCCTTATGATGGAAAAAACTAAGGAACAGACATACAGATACTAAATATAGCCTTTCCTTCAGGTGAGGAATGTGTTTCAGCAGAAGGCCAGTGTCCCACTGCAAAGTTATTTTGAAAGCCTTAATTGAGGGTAAGTGGGGCACGAATGGCACTTTGTAGAGGGATGACTTTACCCTCAGGGAAGCACTATGACAAGATTTCTGAAACTACTCAATTTAACTGCAGCAAACCTTGAAAGCTTTGAGTAAAAAAGTCTCCTCTACTTACGCAGCCACGCAAGTTTAAAGAAAAGTTACCAGATAAAAATATTTCAGCCTTTACTCCTGAGTATCATCCTTGTTTCAGTCCTTTAAAATTGCTATAGAAATTACTAGTAGAAAGATTAATTGTGCTCAGACTAATCACCCAAGCATGGACATCAATACATGTGGTATAAATCACTCCAAACATGTAGCATTCAGCAGTTTAGTCTCAGTAGCCAGGCACACTAACATTCCTGATAATGCATTTGTGTCAGTAATACCTTTATACACGCTTTGTAATCAGAGTCAAGTATAGAAGCCACTATTACATACAAAAAAACACACAGCATGGTGAAATAACAGTTCCTGGTCTCTTGTATCGTGATAGCAATAGAACCCTAGGGAATACGAAACAACACTCTCACGTCCCTACTAAGAGAACGGGAGAGAGGGACTGAGACCTGCAAATGCCCTTGGCATGGAATAAGGTGAGATAACTCTCAAGGTCTGTAACAAACAACAACTCTAACAGCACAAATGGGACTCTCCCACAGCTCTAACGTACATAGTCTGAACCAACCCCTCGGGAGCTTCTCTCCTTTTCTCTCTCCAACCTGCACATGCACCTAAGTTAGATCTAAATGCAAATGAATACTCTTCACTGCCAAGTCTGAGAGCAAAGCCCTGTGAAGACTTAAGCATCCTAAAAACTAGGTCTGGGTTACCCACTGTGAGGTGACACCTGGCCTTGGAATGAAATGCAGTAAGGCATCAGAGTTTCCCACACAATCTATAAGGAGAGGTAAAGACTTCAGACTGGTATTCCCATGCTTGGGTATCAGATAGGTCTTCATACCAATGCCTATTCACCCTTCATCCCAATCCTATCCTTCTGTGAAGATATTAATCATATTGATGTTTGGCCTTTCATAAGCTGGTTTTTTTTCCCTTTCTTTTGCTTTATGTCCTGAACTGATTTGGGGGGGGGGGGGTTCCCACCTGTTTCAGTATTGCTCTTTCACTCCACAGTACACCTTTATACTCGCCCCACAATTTCCCTTTGGTAGGATTTTTCTTTTTTCTGTTGCTACTTCCATAGTTCACCTGAGCATTAGAAGAGTCTGGTTTATTGTTCTCAAAGTCACCATCTTAGCACTGCTTTGTTTTGCTTTAGTAGTCAGAGACCAGCTCCTCTTCCTCCGCTCTCTTAGTGACATAATGCTTTTCTCTGTATTTAACTAACTGAAATGTGTCAGAACATCTGGGTACCATTCTAAACAGCTGAAAATTTATTTTAAATTGTCATTCAGTTTATTAATAAAGAAGAAAAATGCATGTGTATATTTTTCCTTAAGACAGAATAAAGGTACTGTACAAAAATGTACACAAAAACAATCTTTGGCTTCAGTCAAACATGTGGCCGATGGGAAAATACAGGCAGAAGAAAATCCAGACACAAGATAGGATAGAAATCCTACAGATAAAGAAACTCTACAAACTTGACCGCCTTAAGGGTGTATAAAGAACATATACTGCGTTGATATAGTGCCATATAGAGATTTTATAGGCATGGTTTTCAGAATATTCCATTATTACAGTAGGCTAAGATCCTGCAGATGTTTAGACATGAAGAACTTCACTCAGACATCTTGTATTTTCATGGTTGGGTCTTAAATTCCTTCTCCAGTGTCGTGGTTTTGCTCTGGGTCAATTTGCTTTCACATCTCCTACACAATTATTAATTAGTTGAGAGAAAGTTTATGTAGACAAAAGAAACTGGATTTGGGGAAAATAGTATGAATATTTATTATTAGTAAAATAAAAACTATTAAAGAACTATATCTATAATAATTCTACTTAAGTAAAAGTGCTATGTATTTATAGAAAAATACTTCTCCCTCCTCTCTTTATATCAGTCCAAGGAGGAGAAGCAGTTTCCGTTTCCATTCTCGGAGTTCCAGCTCTCTCTCCAGTAACTCTGCAGCACCCTCATCACAGCTGGAATTCTTTCTCCTTCTCTGTGTAGGCCTCCAGGGTTGGGCCTATCCCTTTCCTGGGTTAAAGTCGAAGGCTGGGGGTTACTCAGGTCCTGAAGGGTCGTCTTCTATAGGCTTGCAAGGGGATACTTGTTTACTATGAATCTTTTTCCACAGAGTTACAGGGGATAATGGTTTTTGAGTCCCCCTGTTTCCCTATGGAGGTCTCTCTCCATGGGAGAACAGTTTTCTCCGGCATGAGTCTAGTATGGATCCCACGCATGGATCCCAACATCCTTACCCGAGCCATTTCTGCTTCAGCGTAAGGCTTTTTCTCTCTCTCAAAGTCACAAATCTTCAGTAGCAGCATGGATCTTTCACACAGATCCCAACATTCCACCTGGGCCGTCTCGCTCCAGCGTGAGGTTTGGTCACAAATCTTCAGTAGTAATATGGATCCCACACACAAATTCCAGTATCTCACCCGAGCCGTCTCGCTTCAGCGTGAGTCTCATTCCCTTTAGGGTCATATTTAGAGTCACAAATTTTTGACAGGTCTCTGCCTTATTTTCAGTCCTTTTCATGAAGTTTCGGCTTCCTGGTACATCAGCTACAAGCTCCTCTGTGAGCTGCATGGGGGGTCTCCTCACCCCAACAAACTTTCACAAGCAGCAGGGATTTTATTTTTCAGTCTTTTCCCTGCTAAAGGGACAAAGCGAAAAGGAGAAAAAGCAGCTCTCCCCCCTTCAAACTTTCTTCTCTCTCCTCCAGCTGCTAGCTTTGACTTTGGAAGTCCCTTATTTCTTTGCTGGAATTTTTCTGCAACGGTTTCTGTCCAAGCAGTTCATCTTTTAAACTTTTTTTTTCTTCACTCTCCTACGGAAGAGAAGGGGAACTTCAGTACTACACCTGCCCACCCTGGCCCAAGCCAGGGGAGGAAGGGGCCTTGGCCCTCTTTGAGCCTGCCGCCTTTCTACATGGCTGCTGCCCCTAATTTTTAACTGCGACACAAGTCTTCTCTTCCGTTTTCTTAAAGATGTAATTAGCAAAGGCGTTACTGAGAGTTTTTATTGGGTTTTTTTTTGTCCGGAAACCCACTTGGACAAAACCATCCACAGCCTCAGGGATGGGCTGGTGGGCAAAACCATGACATTCAGAAAGTTAGGAAGAAAACCATCTTAGACTGGTTATAGAAGAGCAGCAGTTGCCAGACAGTACTGAACATCAGGTATACAGTTCCCAAGCAACAAATACGATATTCTCTAGCAAGAATTGTATTTTAACATTGTGAATAAAAGTAAAAGGAGAGGCAAACAATGGGAGTGCATTAACTGTGGTCTTTGAGTCAGCAAAGTGATCCAGTCTGAGAGTCAGAGAGCTAACAATAATGCAGCTCTGGAGCAGAGTACTCAGTATCCACACACTGAGAGTTTAGCAAGTCTACATCTAGTTTTAGTCTGTCACAGAGCTGGTGGTTCCTTACTAATGCAATGCACCAAAAGAGGGTGCTAAAGAGAACCTCAACCATTAATTGCCGACACTGGGAATCAGGGTACCTTACTTAGCCTGAGTACATATTTTTGAAGGCCAATGGGATAAGCCACCCCTTACCATGGAAGTTTCAATACAACAGGATTGCTATTTTAACTCATGATTTTTAAAGTTTAACTCTTACACATCATGACAGTAGTGCAGTGCCAAACACTGAAGAACTGACACCTGGTGTTCACTAAGGTGGAAAAGCCCCAGTTTACTGTATAGCAATGCAAGTTGTTTACTTTGTGGGATGGAAGGAGAAATTAGCCTTTCTAATTGATTAAAACCCCCCACCCCAACATGACTGACTGGAACCCTGTTGAAGTAGGATCTTTATGAAGTGGCACCACTAATCCCATTTTATGAAAGTGTTGACTATGAAACTTTTTTGGAATTATATTTGCAAAAGACACTGAAGGTGTGGTACCTACAGCTATGCCCATAAGCTCTACAACCTGACTGCAATTTCACTAAACCACTTGAGCAAAATGCATATTTTTGTGACATAATGCCACTTGAACTAACAACAGAAAATTGCTTCTACAATCCAAGTCCACAAAACACCTATGAAGACTAAAGACTACGCTGAAGTAATACAGAAATAATCCAGGCAAATCAAATCCACTATTGAAAGAAGCAGGTTAAGAGAAGTAATTAAGAATAAGTCATTAATTGCATTTCAGCAGTGCTGTATTTGCTGTCACCGAAGATGAATGCCCATAACAAACAGATGGTCTGTAAAAGGCTGGAACACAGGGACCTCACTCCAGACTTGTCTGGCATTTGACAGGATGGTCCATATGCCCAGGATGTGATTGTGGATCCAACCACACAAACCCAGGCTTTCACCTAAGAATGCTCTGACCTGGGACAGCTACACTCCAGGGGGATTTTCCACGTGCAGTGACTGACCTAAATAATCATAGCACTTTGGCCCATTTATTCCATATACTTACCACTTGTATTTTTTCCATAAATACACTACTAATCACTGCTGAAAACCAAGACAGTAGGCCAGACAGACCCTTGGTCTGGTTAGACTGTTAAATCTTACGTTCTTAGGATTTTTAACTGAGGAGACTGTGTTCCTCCAAGTTTTGTTTAATTTATTGAAACTGCCACATACTTCTCAGCCTACAATTCACAATCAAATGGTGCAATGTGGTATTGCAGGAAGAACATCACTGGAGACAGAGAGGTGCTGAAACTGAAGTAGAACTAACTCGGTTCCTCCAGAGTCTCTGACTGCAGCATAACATCAGTAGAACTGCTGCCTACTCTTAGCCATCAATATCTGGTGCTAGCATTCATACCTTATCAAGACTTTCCAAGGGAAAGCTTTAGAAACAAAACCAAAACACAGACATTCTCAGCCGTGCCTTGTGAAAACAGCTGGGAAGGCTGTGAATGCACTAGCACCATGTGGCTGCTTACAGACACTGCACTCCCAGCATAACAGGAGCCACAGCACTCCCAGAGGGTGTTCCTGGGACCCCACCTGTGGGCAGGTAACACCCAGTGCTGGCTCTGGACAGAGCCCCAGGACATCACAGCACCTTGGGACCTGCTTGGGGGAACAGCAGACTTTTCTTGAGAACTTACTGCTCTTTTACACAGAATATGGCAAGGGCCCAGAAGTACTGACACAATTCCCAACGTGCTGGTCAGAAAACCAAGCTGGGTGACCAGAAAATACACAGCTTACTGGGTATGCAAAAGTTTTGCTCCTGTGCTGAGTCAGCAGTTGTATCTGATACTGGGTTTGATCCTTGTCTTTAACAAGGAAGACATGTAACTCTTGAGGTAAACCTATATTCTGGAATATGCTTAACAAATATTTCATCAAAGGGGAAAGGTTTATCTTTTACTGCCAAATGATTTATTAGAACTCAGAGCCAAAACAGATAAAAGCCCTAGGGAAGTACTGCGTCTTTCAAAGAGTTAAGCTCTAAGGGGAGTTAAATACTGCAGACAGGAAGGCTGAGGAGGAAGGTGAGCAGCAGTCTTGCCAAACAAAGATTTCCCACACATATGTCAATGCAATTCTCTGCATCAATACCTGAAAAAGGAGCAGGCAATAAAGAAATGCATGCTTAAAGCCATGACTAATGAGGATACTTTTGTATCACAAAGTCTGGATTAGCCAATGAATCTTTCAAACTATCTAACTTGCAGAATAGCATTTGGCAACATCCGCTGACATCTGCCACCACTTTCTTTAGCTTTCTGCATTCCCTGAGGGCGTTGCCTGCGAGTTGCCCTGCAGTGCCACAGCACAGCAACTGCAGACGGGAGGGAATGCAGACAGACATGCAAAGTGTTTAAAATAGGAAACCCAGGCTCTGTGCCGGGGCTGTGTAACAGGTGTATCTATATACTGAGAGCTCGTATTAATGAGGCTTCTGTTACACACGGACGGGCGGCCAGCAGCCTTTTCAGAAGTACGGGGTATTTTGGTGAAAGTCAGACAGAGTAACCTCGTAGTAACCTCTAGTCTGGCTCACAGCCACTAGGGAGGACTCTGGAGGACTGTCCCTTGGTGCTGCATTGATTAGATTTCTTCCCATAATACATCCAGTGTTTTTGCTCAGTAAACCTTACTAACAATTGAACCAAGGATAAAGAGTGAGAGGGGAAATAAAAGCTGATCTCCATGTGAAAATGGGCCATAAAATTAACAAGGTTCTCAACATCAAGTAATTCTGTCTGCTCTATTGTGGCTAGAAAATCAGAGCCTGTAAAAGACTTACATGAGCAAGGAGGAAAAAAAAAAAACACAACGAAAATATTCCAGAATTTATACAGCAGTTGAATGTTTAAACACACAACATCTAAGAAATGTAAAAGTTTAGCTTCCCCTACTACATTTAAATATTTCCTTGTCCATATATTATGCATGCATCATTTTTGGACACTAGTCATATTGGCAAATACACATTTTCCACAATCTTTTATGGTGCTAGGGAAATGTTAATATACAAGTCCCCTGATTTCCAAGTCTTGCAGCATCAACACTGCATAGAAAGCATGTTTACAAGAACAACCAAAAAAGCCACACACTGTCAAATAAAATATGAATGATAACCTAGGACATAGCAAGTCCACAGTATAGTAATTTTTCCTCTAAGAACATCAATGCATGGGGATATAATAATCCCAGAACACACCCAAATCTTGCTGGATACTGAGAGTGCCCCACTGTGGATCACCAATATTTTTTGCTGGAATGATCCTTAAATGCTGGAAATGGAATCAAACTCCAAATCATTGTCATTGGAAAGACAACTGTAACACTGAACACCCCAAATGAACAGCCTCCATTCCTTTAAGAAAGGAATACCACTTTCTATCAATAATGAATCATCCAGGCTCTGCATAACAATTATAACACTCACTTGGTAATTAACGCAAGAGAAACTATGATCTTTCTAACATACATATAACCTACTACCGAGTATTAGGGTTGAAAGGATGAACAGGATTGTCATGACTTCAGCTATTCACACTGCATGATAACTGATAAAGTAAGTAAACTAAGTATATTGCAATACCTAGAGTAAAAGGAGAACCGAATAAACAGGACTGCTTTAATAGGGCACGTAGGAATACACAAATAATTAATTTGTATCTTCTCTAATAACATGTGCTTTCAGAAAAGTCTGTCACCCCAAAGTGATCCACAGAGATAGCAAGACTGGCATAGCATGCAACGTTCATTTTTAAAGGTTTATGGTTGCAGCAGAACACCAGACTGGATCTTAAGTAGGTCTTCTGAAGCTACCCATGTTATCACAACTGGGACCTAATGACTTAGAAGCAAAAAACCTTCCTGCTACATGAAAACAAGTGTCTAATATCACAGAGAAACAATGGTAATGACCTTAATGACCTGGCATTTGTTTGAGGTTTTCTCCCTGAGATCTTTTATATGAATGACTCTGGTAAAGTAATGGTCAAGAAGCAACAATCAGACACAAAATAGCCAAGTAAAAGTCATCACCACAAGAAGCCTAACACAGCTGACGCTGCATGTTAGCAAGGCTTTTCACTTTTGGAAACATGGTCAGTACATTTTAAAATTCTGTTTAAAAAGCTGGTATTTCTGACCCTTTGACATTAACTGTGGTAAAGGAATGAAAGCTGCCCTTCACCTGGCACTAACTTACATTCCCACTGCTGCTCTGTAATGGCCTTCGGAAGGTCCAAACACCGGGCAAACTAATTGCTTGCAAACTACTTGCAATCTATGTTCAAAGGGGGAAAAGTCTTGCTTAAAAAATAATTTAAAAAATCAAATAAAAAATAACCTCTAGAATTTTCATGAAAGAAAATGACATTTTTCATGAAGGTCCTTTGTGTGTTTTAGAGCTTAAAACAACTGTGTTGTATAAATATGATATATTTTGCACAAATGGCCCTTCAAATATTCAAACACAACTCAAGTTTCCTGAGTGCCATGCTCTTTCTATATCTAACATCTCCTTTTCAGAAAAGGCTTAGAAAAGGACCAGACACTTGATATACTCCACTGTGACACTCTGCCCTCTACCACTCAAACACGCCACGGTAGGATGAATTCAACATACACTAACCACAAACCCTACTAAGAGGCCTATTAAGTCTTGATTTGTGCCATAGGTATCTAAGTATAGTAAATTAAACCCCTATATGCTTATAAGTTTATCTGACACATAGATGGGCAATAATTTACAAAAACATGGGTATCAACATCACTAAGAACAAGCTGCTTCCATGAACTGCTGAGAAAAGTGAAAGTACAGAAATGGAGGCTGGATTCTGCAGGGAATCTATACAGTTTTCCATGCACTCCACTGCCCTAGCATTTAGGGAAAATAGGCCTTTCCCTGGCCTTGGGCACAACAACAGTCAACAACCTTTCTTGGAATTCTTGGAAAGCTGCAGACCTCAGCTGAGAGATCCCAAAAGAGAGTTATTAATGAAGTCATTGTTAGCTGTGTGCTCTACTGGTGGAATACATTATGCCTGCTATTTCAGAACAGAGAATCCTGGCCAGCCTTGTCCTCCAAAGTTCATTATATGCTCCCATGTGCCATGAGAGTAACAGAAGGGACAGTGCAAGTCCCACATTCCTTCCAGTTTGTCAGCTCTGAACACCACACTAATGGGCTGAAGGCAGTTTGCAGATAACTCACCCCAAGCACCCCAAGCACTTCAGCTACCACACAGAGAAGTCTTCCTTTCTCCTCAGAGTGTCTGTCTGCAAGATAGCCACTCTGGTGGCTCACACACAGTAATCTGATGTTTGAGAGTTAGCTAAAAATAGATGGCAATAAAGTTCTGCCAAAAGAGGTGTCTGCTCTGGATTGTTCCGCCAGCAAATGGTGTTTCCAAAAACTACGTGTGGAATCCCCCACATGGCTGCTCTCCAGATGTTGGCCATGCAGACATCTCAAGGAAGCAGAAGAACATGCTTACTGCCTGTTAAAATGAAACATGTAATGGGAAGAGACCTGGGGGAGCAGACAAACAGAAAATACAAGCCCTCCTGACTGCTACTTCAAAAAAATCTTTTCAGATATTGACTAAGATATTGCTTATCAAAGCAGCAAATAATTTAAAGAAGTCTTGACACAAACGTCTTGTTTGAATCCTGCCTGCTGGGACAGCTGTCCCTAAGAAGGATGCACTTATATGTACACACCACAGAAATACAGCTATGAATGCTATGAATGCATAAGGCTGGGAAGGACTATCATAAGCTGCCTGGTACTTTGAAGGCGCTTTCAACTTCTGAATGAATGGTAACACACTTATTAATCCCCTAAGGAAGCCAGATTTCAGACACTGTGTAAAAAATGCTCTCCTGGAAGACGAAAGCGAACGTTATTAACTTCTAGGTACACCTTCAGAGAACTGATTAGAAATACAGATGTCCTAACTCCGTAACCTGTGACCTGAGTCCACATCACCTACGCTTTTGGTTCCAAGTTCACCTCAACTAAACTTGCTTTGCATTTCTTTTTTGTTATATAAGTACTTATTTGTGGAGGCTACTGTTCAACTGAAACCAAAAATCTCTTTCAGAACTTCCCCCTTTTTTTATCTTGGGGCAACAAGCATGCTGGAAACTAACCAGTAACTCACACGAGATGATGATGGGTGGTTTCGGTCCAATGCGGTGGTCCTGCCAGTTTCATGATGGAAAACACCACTGTTTCTTGCTGATCCCTTAAAAAAAAGCAAAGCCTTTCAGCAGTACAATGACTGAAGGTCAGTCTCAGAAAGTAAGTGACCCAAGAAAAAGCACACTCATGAGAAAACCCAAAGGGAAGTGAAAACAGAGATAATATAAAGGTACGCTCTTACTGTAGCTGGTTATTTGCTGGAGCCCCTGGTGGTCTAGTGGTAAGGGCGCGGCGCTGTCACCGACGAGGCCCGGGTTCAATTCCCGGTCAGGGCCACTCCCGGGCAGGTGGGGCTCGTTAGCCCTTAAAGGCAATCCACCTACGTCCTAAGGACCTCGCTGCCACCGTCCAAGCTCGCTTGGCCCCGGCAGATGAACCTTAGGATTAAAGGGTGGGCTCAGTTCCGCGCACACTGTGTCTCACCTAAAAAATCCAATGCGCAGGCTGGAAGGTGGAAAGACCTTCCCCGGATCTTCGCTTGCGAAGACTGGCCATTATTATTATATTATTATTATTATTTGCTGGAATATTGTGCTGATACTTTTATACTCAAGTTGTGTTAAAAATCCTCTCAGTTAATATGCTGTTAACATGACTGAGTTATGCAGTTTACCTTTTTATTGACAGGTACATTTGGAGCATATTGGAAGATCTTCAAAGTAATTTATAAGCACTAATGATAAGCAAGCATTAATCCTTATTTTGCAGGTGAAGAACAGATGTATAAGACACTGCGCTTTTGTGTGAATCACTGTAGCAGAGGCAGTAACCGAACTTGAGTTATGTACAACTTCTATTACCCCTAGGCGATAAAAACAGCTTCTGAAAAAGCATGGTAGGCATGGGAAGCTGTCCTGAGAAATAACCGGAAAGAATGAATTTCTAGTGTAATCCCCTTAAAAGGATGTCTAGCATCTGTACACAACTCACACCTCAAAAGCCAAAATCAAAACCCAAGAACAAACAGCATGTGCTCTATTTTTAGAGAGAACTTTAGTCAGGTGAGGCAATTTCTCTGTTCCACCTTGCTCAGATCATGACAGCAACACCTACCTGGCAATTGGTCTTGTTTGGAGGATATACTCCTTGTTATGTAATTCCAGATACTTCTTGCAGCTTTAAGCTTTTACTGTACTTACATGGGTGAGAAAGAAAGGAAGAATGACTCTACAGAAGGAGTTTCAGATGCTTTATTTTTACTGCCAAACACACCGTTTTCTGAGGTGTTTGGCACTAAGGGTGCAATGTACTAAAATGATTGATTGATTGCGTTTTAAAAATAGAAGTACTGTTCTGATACTGGGATTAACTATTATCATTAAGAAATGGCAGAATTTTAAACAGCTTTGAAGCTGCACCCTACTGAGAATGTAAGGCACCCTTCCCTATGTTACACACACAAACCAGATAATTTCATAAAAGAACCAAGTAAATGCCACTAACTTCACTCTTCACATGGTGAGTACTACATCCCTAGGACCACAGGAACCACTCCATAGTGTCCCTTCAATTCCCATCACGCGTTTTTAGTTTGCTTTCAGCAAATTTGTAGCCTCTCCCCTTTTTTACCGAAAAACATTATGTTGCTCTATTGAAGAAGCTTAATTATAGTTTTTTTGAAGGTTCTTATTTTTAGATATCTTATATATTTTTTATCAAATCTTGGTTATCAAAGGGGCTGCAAAAAATATTTGGAATAAATGGCTGTGCTGGAGTAGAGTTACATTTCTTCCCAGTAGCTGGTAGGGGCTGTGCTTTGGATTTGTGCTGGAGCAGTGCTGCCAGCACAGGGATGTTTTAGTTATTGCTGAGCAGGGCCTGCACAGAACCAAAGCCTTTTCTGCTCCCCACCCACCCCACCAGCGAGGGGCTGGGGGGCACAAGGAGTTGGGAGGGGACACAGCCAGGACAGCTGATCCCAGCTGGCCACAGGGACATCCCAGACCATGTGAAGTCATGCTCATCACATAGAGCTGGGGGAGAAGGAGGAAGGGGAGATGTTGGGAGTGATGGCATTTGTCTTCCCAAGCCACTGTGACTGTGATGGAGCCCGGCTTTCCTGGGATGGTTGAGCACCTGCCTGCCATGGGAAGTAGGGAATAAATTTCCTGTCTGGCTTTCCTTGTGCACAGCCTTTGCTTTCCCTATTAAATTATCTTTATCTCAACCCATGGATTTTCTCCCTTTTACCTTTCCAGTTCTCTCTCCGTTCCATGGCAGGGGAGGGAGCGGGCAGCTGCGAGGGGCTGAGCTTCTGGTTGGGGTTAAACCATGACAACAGCATCATTTGGTGCCCCAATACAGTGTAAGCAGGTTCTGCTTGAGAGCTGGGTGAGTGACTGCAGCTACAGGGTAACACAGCCAGCAGCACATTCGTGCCAACAGAAAAGAAAAGTTGATGGCATCAACCCTAGGTCAGCTCCTCAAATTCGGGAGCTGGTTTTCTTCTAGACACTGTAAAGTTGCTTGTTTAAACGCAGTCAGTCGGTAACAATTAAGTGTCTAAATAAAACATGCAGATTTGGTGCTCCTTTTGAAAGCCCCTCCATGCCATGCTGTTTATCTTCTATTTCTCACAGTCTTCATTTTCCAACAATCAGGCTACAAAATGGCGGTTGCAGTGAGGCAGACATTTTATAACTGCCTCATTAAAGCCCAGTAGAAAAATGGAGACGCCCCGAGTGAAAAGCAGCCACCCGAGGAGCCAAAGGGAACACACGGCTCTGCAACCAACAAGCTTCTAAGCAAACCCTTTACCTTACTTTGTAGCATAGTTAAAACCAAGCTCCACTGAAAAGCCACCTGAGAGCGTTTTACCACCGCATAGGCAAAACACAGTTGAGGGCGGCCCTTTTCCAACCCTCTCACTTGGGCGAGTGCAGCTTATCGCCCATCTGGGCAGAGACTCTTCTGTGCCCGTCTACTGTGAGCCGTATGGACTCAAGACCACCCACTGACAGTGACTCAGGCACTGTAATCTTAACCACATTCTTCCCTTGAAAGTCCAGACACCAATGTTTTCTATTACAGTTCCAGGAACTTCACAGTCTTCAGCACAGCTTTAAAAGCACTTGCAACAGAACCAGCAAAGGAACACTTAATGGAGCCTACACCTCCATCTCTGCATATGACTTCTCATTCCAATTTAACTCTCATGTCCAATAAGCTACGGACAGCTAAAGCAGACTAAAGTAATACCACAGCTGATAAAAGCAAATAGCACCAAGAATTAATAAGCACAATCTTTTTCTTTTTTTAATTGTGTGCCCACCAGCCTCCTCATAGAAGTATTAGCAACTGATGGATCATAAGAAGCAAATATGCAAATCTTCAGGAAAAAACTGCAAAGCATGTGCTATTCATTAAAGATTTAGGTACCTGCCAAATTATAGGCTTAGAAACTCAGATGATTTTACACTGTTTCCTGGGGGAAAAGATAAAAAACAAAGCACCTAAAAAAACAATACCCAAAACCTTTCTAACACAGAAAAACTGTGCTTTTGCCACCCTCCTATAAATAAAATATAGCTGAGGGGATTTTGCTTGCAGTTTTTTTAATGACACAAAACAATCAAAGCCACTGAGCTAATGATATATTTGAAAAGGGTGATAGGTGTAAAAAGCCCCAAACCACCTTGGACTTATATAATGAAAGAAAATAAACATTACCAATTTTAATGCAGCTCTAATTTAGAGGGAGCTGTAATAGAGGAATGAAACCCAACAAAACATGTAAGGAATAATGACATAGGCATACTGGAAACACAAGGCATTACACGGGTACACTGAGGCTAGAAGTGATTAGGCTGAAGCGTTTCTGTTCCCTCTGTTCCTGTGTAGACTCATGCTCCAGTGTGATGCTGCTATCTGATACTCAATGAACCAGATCACAGAACAGGCAACCGAATGGGGAGAAAGGGCTGGCCCTCAAAAACCAAAGTTAGGAAACCTTCGCAGCATGCAGGTGAACCAGCTATCTGGGAAAATATTCTGAAGAAGCTTATTTTGAAACTTTATCTCTTTGAAGAAAGCCTGTGAGCCTGACTGTTGAAAAAAAACTACTCTGAGTATCCAGAGAGCAGGGTAAAATGTTCTCAGAAAAGAGAAGAATTTAGCCTACAGTTTACATAGGACTGTGAGGCATTTGCCAGTTACCCTGTATCTCTGCTTTTACCTGTGAGACATTTCCAAGCTACACACTGACCCTTCCCTTACGGGAAACTGAGAGACACGGCCAGTGAAAGGGGTTTTGTCTGGGCCACCTAGAGCTGTGGTACAAAAGGAGAGGAGGAAGATGATCCCTGCCTGAAACAGGCACATGTGGGCTGCTGTTCCCACTTGGTGGGGTACCACTCCAGATGGTGCTGGTGCAGGTTCCGCGGGAGCCGTGCCTGCAGAGCCTGGCTGCAGCCCAGTGGTGTCCAACAGCCCAGGGCAGCCCTGCTGCATGGACTCGCTGTTCCCAGCCACCCACCCTGCAGCCCCCAGGGATGGCTCTTCCAGGACTGAACAGATCAGCCCAAATCCAGCCGCCTGCCACGTTTACCATGCTCTGTTCAAAGGTTACACCCCAGAGCTAAAACCATCAACTCTAAGGTAACCTTGATTGCAGTTCTACTTTAGTTTTGTTAAAAATCCCCAAATCAAAAGAATTCTCAGTTTTGTTACAAACTTAAAAGCAGTCCAAGGTTCATGAAAAATTTCATGGGTCATCACCCTTCAGAGTTAAGCTAACTTTAAGCTGGGAGAAAAAAATTCTTCCAGTTAGCACAAGGTTTCACACTGGAAGTGTGGGAAACTCGTGGTTTGACAAGATTTCCTTGCAAACCCAGGTGAAGTTCAGTGGTTTCTGTGATATTTCACAAAGACTACCTGGAGGCCTTTGAACTTGAAACTCAAAGCAGAATCCAGCAGTTGCAAACTTAAACACAAGACCAAGATTAAGAAAAAAATGCTTGCATGGGCTCCTGGGAAGTATATACTGCGTTCCACCTGCTGACACTGGAAAAAGTAGAAGTCTGCACACCCTACAGTTCCAGTTCA